CATAGACTCAGTGGGTGTCAGCTCAAATTCTTGAGTACTTCGAGGTCGGGATGTGTGCTCCTTTGCAGGCGTAACGATCATTCAAAACGTCCTAGAGATCCGAGACAGAAGGCGGAGTGGCGTGGCATCGGCTCTCGCCTCGGGAGCGAACTCCAGGGTGGTCGATATGCCCATCATCGTCCCTGGGGACTCCCTCCGACGACGGTGGTGTTGCTCCGAAGGCTGGTGACTGTCTTCGGATCGAGCGAGCACTTCTTCCCTTTGGCTGGGAGGACAGATATTCCTTTGTGGTGAATTATTGCCCGACTCCGATGGCTCGGCCAGCAAGTTGTTGCCCTGGCCGAGGGCTGGGAGCTTGATGTGTTCGCGTCGGCCCTGATCCTCTGACACCCTAGCGAGACGGTCGCCTCTAGAGGGACCTCTTGCTCGGGGGCAGACTTCTTCCACGTGTTATGTAGGGCAGGCCAAACGATCGAGGACAGCCTGAAACTGCTCATAGGTGACTAGGTTCTGATTATTCCTGGTTCTCTGCACCATGGCTTTTGAACTTATGAGCGCTTGAAGTAAAAATGTTCTTTATCCTTTAAGGGGGTTGTCTTAACAACGGTTCCCATAGATGACGCCAATTGTTGCCACTCGAATTAGCCGGGGGCAACAAGGTAAATTCACTCTCCAAGTTCCGAAGGTAGGCCGAAGGCTTTGAGGTCTCGAAAGAGGTAAGCCGAGGCGAGGTGTTCCCTCCTGAGTATGGTAGATGCCGAGGACTGTAGGTCGTCGTCTCAGTGACGAGGTTCCTGGAGACTCGAGGTACTGCATAACAATGGGTGTTAGAGGCCCCGGGTGGAGACTTGTGGCAGAAACTCCAATGCTCAAGTTAGTATGAGGTGTAAGGTAGGAGGAGGTGTAGATGAGGTTTTGGTGATAGTCCTCGGATGCACTGGATCCCCAGGAGTAAATGCTAAGAAAGCAAGGTAAGTGCGGAAAGTAAATGAGAGAGTTGTATCAGAATACTGGGCTCTGGAACCCCTGTCAAGTGAGAGTTACCTCTTATTTATACTTGAGCGTGTTAGAGGTAGGTGAAGATGAACGCACCATATGAGGGCGGTACAAGGTTAGGCGGCAGGTCCTGGTGGATACACCTAACCGCTCCGTGGTTGACTCCATATGAAGGCAATAGGACTTCTCCCCTACTGTGGTTAGCACTGTCAGGCGTTAGTGGGCTGGGCCTGGCTATGAGGCATGTGTTGGATGCACTTTGTGGGGCGCTGATGCAAATTTTGCATAGGAGTCTAGGAGATGTTTTCGATGTACCACTGAAATGGATAGTTGGGACAGAATTAGAAGTGTTTTGTTGGGAGAAGATGTTATTTTATTACCGTGGGAAAAAGTTGAAGATTTACTACAGTTTTAATACAACGGCTGAATTTTAATTTTTCAAAATTTAGCCATAAAGAAAGATAAATCTAGTTATCTATATAGCTATACCCATAAAACAAATATGTCATTGTCCCACGTCTTGCGGTTGTAGCTGATCAGCCACCATTTACTCGGAAATTATTGGCTACGATTTGTGCGGATGGAAACTACGTGGGCCCATCAAAAAGCGATGGTCTAAATTTTCTCAAGAAAAAACAACATCAAAGTGGTTTTAAAAGGCTAAAGACGTAGTTGAGGCGTAATGGCCCAAAAGGTGAGGCATAAGTTTTAATGTGTTATAAAGCGTAAATCTCACAGTTTAAAAATAAAATTAATTAAAGTTTATAAATTAATAAAAATAATGTATAATATACCAAGTTAGAATGGAATAAAGTTTAGATGAACAATTTAGTTGTTCAGCAGTGGAACCAATGATAAGGTTTTATGCCGGTATTAAATACATAGGGCCCACATCTTTTATAGTGGGGCCTGGGAATTTAATACAAGTGTAGAACTGATAGGATGTATAAGTATCGATAAAATAAAATTTATAAGCAATAAGTTTTAACATTTAAGCAATAAATAAAATAATAATTAATCAACTAATAATTATAAATATTTTACATTTCATGTTTTAGAATGCAAACTTCTCAAATAATTTAAATGACCAATTTAAAAGAAAAGAAACATGTGAAGAATCATCCATATAATTGGATATTAGATTTATGATCATTCAATAGTTTAGAAGAAAGAAAACAACTTAGTTAATTTGATATGTGCAAAAAAAATAAATCCATTAAGAAAAGAAATGAAAAAAAAATAATACCCTTGGTGCTATATTTAAAATAATTAGAAAAAAATCACTTGATATATGAAGAGAAACTAAAAACTTGGTTAGCCCTTTTTGTATTGAATTCTCCTAAAACACTAAGAGAAACTAATAAAATTTGATTTTTTCTATTGGTTTTTCATTTTTACTCTTTTTATTTATTTAGTTCATAATTATCGAAATATTTCTTTTATATATTTTGAACTATAAAAATGCATACAATATTTTTTTCACAAAATTACTAATAATCATTGAAACTTGAAGCTTATGCCTTTTTACGTTTGACGTCTTAAGGCTTGAACCACGCTTTTTACGCATATAAAAGCTTAAGCCTCACATCAAAATTGTGAGGGTAAAATTTATATGCCTCGCATCTCAAGGAAGTCTTTTAAAACAATACAACCACCTACGGTAAAAAGTTGCCATCTTTTGTCAAATGTGAAACAATTGTATTAGGTGGGCCGTGCTAGACTTGCAGGATTGGAATCAATGCTGAAACTGCTAAGACCGGAATGCTGAAACCGTATTAGCTTTTTTTGGTATTAATTAGTCACCTTTGCCCCCACACACGGGATCTTCTCCTCACATTTAGGCGCCTCACATGCACATCCACCATGCAATGGGAACATCTCCCGTGACTAACGGGCCTATAACATGGGCCCGAGCCTAGCCCTAATAAAAAGTCCAAAGCCTGGGCCCGAGCCCGAAACCCGACCTAACAAAAGAAAGAATTCATCGTCGATGATTGTGTTCATCGATGTTGAGTTTGCGCCTGAGAGAGAGAGAGAGAGAGAGAGAGGACTCATCACCTTCGTCACTGGTGCCTGTGTTCACTACCTCGCCGGTGTTTGAGATTTGAAAGAGAAGAAGTGAGAGAGAGAGAGAAACTTCACTGCCAATCTGCTAGAGTTGTTGCGCCGGTGAATGTTTGCCGGTTTTGCGACTGCTTGAGAGTGTGAGGAAGATGTGAAGCGAAGAGAGGTTCGGCACTAGGCAGTTCGACTAACAGGAAATGTGGAAAGAGATGAATGAGAAGGGTTAGGATATTAGGGTTTTTGGGTTTAGTCAATAGGTCGGGCCGGACTGGGGTCGAGCCGAACTATTTTGACAAATCCTAAGCCCAGTTCAAATTTATTGTAGGCCGAGCTTTTTGGCTTGAGGTTAATCCTACGGGCTCATTTACGTATTCAAACCCATCCGGGGCTCACCAACCCGTCAGGCCACAGGTCTATTTCTAATACATGGTAAGATGTGCGTACGAAGCTAAGTGGTGTCGTAATTTAATTATCCTTGGCATAGTAGATATTTAACATTAATAATTCAGATTTTGAAAATCGTTATGAGGCGCCTTTTGTGAGGAGCAGATAACCACTCAGTTGGCTTGGGAGGATAGCTTATTTATCAAATGGTGACGCAAACAAAAGACGTGTAGTGAATACAAAGTATCATTTGGAAGGATTTTAGTGGATGAGATTTATGACGAAAGATTCAGATCACTGAGAATTATCATTTGAAAAGATTCCAGATCACGTGATATGTTATAAGATTTTGACCGACACGTGAGCATGTTTGATTAAAGATTCTTTTTATTGTCGTTTCCTTTGAGCAAAGAGCAAAGAGCAAAGGCATCTCGTCTCGTCTCGTGGCCACGGTCCGCAGAGCTTTTGGGCCATGCGCTTAGGGGTCAGGGGACATCGCTTTCTCCCATTGGATTCTATTTTGATGCCCATCAGATCCAGATCAGCCATCCACCGACAAAAATATTAGATAAAAATCACCCTAAAAATTGTTCATAAATTTTAGAAATTTGGAATAAAGAGCAATTCCAATAAAAGGATTTTTATTTTGGTATTAGAAAATAATGAATAAGAATCAAAGCAAATAATATAGAAAAAATTACTTGGAGTTATCAAAAATGTATTTTGGGAGTAGTGACACTTAAAAGGGAAAGGGATACTTTATACTTCTAAAGATCAACACTCAAGTGCAAATCAGTTAAGAGAATAAGATAATAAAATGACAAAAATGGATATTATTAATGCGCATGTTACTTTTAACGCCCTCATTATTCAATTTTGAGAAAGAAAATGAGAAAAATTAGGATTTTAGAAATTTGATAAAGGAGAGAGCAAAAACATGCAAAGAGTAATTTTAGGATTTTGGAATGGTAATATTTGGACTTGAGTATTGATTTTCTAAATATATAGATAGGTACCTCATTGTCACAAGTGAAAGTTGAGGCCTTTAAGTAGAACAGTGAGATCTCATATCTAAATCTGAAATTTGAGATTATAGAAAGAAGTTGTGGTTGCAGTCACCATCATCATTGTCACAGCCACCTTAAACTCTTCTCTCTATTCTCATAAGAAAAATAGAGAAATAACTTAATATACTAAATTTCTAACCCAAAGGGAAAACTGTCCGAACCGTTACACCCAAACAATCAAACCGCTGATCAAAGCGGTTTAATGTCTGAATTGATTTTTAAAACCTTGGTTTTGAGTTTTATAAAAAATATTTGTGAGAAAAAATATCAAAATGATATTTTCTTCAATATCATAACTTTTTTTTTTTTTTTTTTTTTTTTTTTTACGGTTTGACTTATTAGTTGTCATAAGGTGAATAAAAGAGTTTTGTCCCAATTTCCATGACAAATTCGTACCAAACACTTTCTCTCGTAAAATGGCAATCGTACCAAATGTCCCCTTAAGAAACAAACACGTTCAAAATGAATGTACAAAAGTGTAAATGCTTAGTTGGATAATGAGTGGTAAAATTAAAAAGGATAAAGCTAGAAATGAAGTCATATGACAAATATTGACATCAACTGTTGTTTAGTGGAACTAAACTTTGCACCTGGCTAGAACCTTATAAATAAAAAATAATAAAATAATGCAAAACCTTATATTCATAAATCCTATTCTCCTCTCCATTGATGGCAATAACTTAAAACCTCCAGAGTTTGGAGCTTACGACGGTGGACTGAAGTTTCAGAAAAGCAGAAAAGCAAAAACTTCAGCTTACGACGGCTGAGGCCTGCTAACGCATCATTTATGCAAAATACAAGCACAGTTTTCGTTCCCTACATCGGCTGCGATGCATGGAGGTTGAAGAATCCTCCCATTCCGGAACCATGCCGAACGTTTTTGCATCAGTTCATCCACGAAAACATCGAGCTTCTCAATGGTGACATTGGGCATCACCACAACGTGAGCAATATCCCCCTGACAAGCGAGATGCCAACGTCGCACAAATTCCTCATCCTGTGGCCGCTCAAACACCACTGTGCTGCTGAACTCGTTGAGCATGGCCCCAACCCCTGCAGCTCGGAGGCGATCCTTCAAATAGAAGGCGTTGCTTAGACACTTCTGCACTTCTTTCTGAAACCCTTTGTAGCCTTTTTGGTTCAGTGTGTACCAGAGGAAGATCGGAGTGTGCCCATTACGACTGCCCATGATTGTAGCATCCCGAGAAGCTAGATACTCAACATTCCTTGAGAGAGCGTTGATGTGCTCCAGTCTTGTTATCTCAACGCCACAGGGCATTGGGCATCCCACGAACTTGTGCCCAGAAACGCTAGCACTCCCTATGGGCTTCTTGAAGCTAACCTTGGGTGCCTGCAGCTCATTCAGAACAACGAAAGATCACAACAACAGAAACAAATTCACCCAAAAGAAATTTAAACTGAGTTAATTAGTGATGATTTGGTCGATCCATGTGGACATACTCGTTTGATGAAAGGCATCATGAGCCCAAACAGAGCCCCGTCACAGTGAATATAGAACCGGTCCTGTGTGAACCCAGTGTCTTCAAGTGTTTTTATAACCATATCGAGATCATCTATAGCTCCTTTGACCGTCGTCCCTGTAAGTTTTAACGACGACAACTGAGATTGAGATACATGAATCGCACATGGAGGCCACAAAGGGATAACCTTTGCATTACACACCTATATTAACATTGATGATAGCTGGTTTGTCCTTGTTGGGAAGTAATTTGGCTCTGAAATCTGTGCAATCGATCTCGCCAGAGGCCAGAGTATCGACCTTAATGCATTCCATTCTGTACATCCGCGCAGCTTTAAACACTGAATAGTGGGACTCTCTTGATGCGTATAAAATTCCATCTGGCAACACTTCTCTCCTGCACAGCCGAATCAGGTTTCAGTGATTTCCCATTGATGCTCAATAGGAGATGGATAGATGGTAATTGAATGATGAGATACGTATATGAGCTTCAAATTACTAACCCAACTAGGATACCGTGAAGATTGCCTTCTGTTCCACAGTTTGTGATGTATCCCCAGTATTCATCCTTCTCTAATTCCCAGAGACGAGCAAACCAATCCAGAACTCCGACCTCAAACTGTCTGGAATGGACTCCGTACTTGCTCTCAATAAAAGGATCGCCGAGGTTGTTGATGGAAAAATGTTGCAGCTGAGCTAGAGCACCATAGTCGAAGTCCAGGTTATAAGGATAACCTGTAAATTAATCAAGCATTTTAATTTTCAAGCAAATAAAAAACAAACAAAACCCAGATTTTAATATCTTTAAACCATTTAATTTTCAAGAAAAAAACAAAATCCAGAATTTCCTAGTGTGAATCTGACAATCTGTGATGTGATCATGGCATTATTAGCCAAACCATTTAACTTGCCGACATGAATAAACTGAAACGAAAAGGAAAAGCTTTTCATATATACATACCCAAATGATGTTCGGTTCTTTCCACTAAGGACTTTCTGTATTTGGCCAATATACTGGCCATATAAGCTTCCTTTTCTCCCGTCATCTCCTCGTCTACATCAGGCTCTGTTACAGGAAGAGACATTTTATGCACGTTCCTTCCCAACACAATCTCTCTTCTCTGTTTCTCTTCCCCTCGTCTGGCTTCCCCGCTGATGCTCGCTCTCGTCTCAACCATAGTTGGAAAAGAGTTTGGGATTATCACCGTGCCACCAAACTCCTGTGGTGAGTGCTGGGTCTTTCCATTTAGTTTACCAGAATAAACCTCAACTTCAACACTTTCAGCCATGATTTCTCTGCAGTCTTGAGCTATAGAACTACCCGAATCTCTAGATTTGCTCCTTCACCGGCTCCTCAAGCACGAGTATCTGATAGGATTAATACTGAATTACCGAATAATTAGTATGACAATCTAGAAAACAATTGAGAAATATGTGAATTATAAAGCAAATAATAAAAGCAAAGCGAAAAGTAAAGATGACATCAGATTTACGTGGTTCGGTCAAAGAGACTTACATCCACGGGAGAGGAAAGAGAACTTGTTTTATTCATGTTCTTGATGAGAGTACTACAAACTGGCCACCTTACTAGTGCCAAAATGCCTTTAACAAAGCCTTGAAGCACTCTATTGCATAGACGACTGCTTGGATCTGGTGTGAAAGAACCCTTAATGGTAGCAGTGAAGAAGTATACCGATCCCAAACAGAGTAGGAGCAGATCTCGCCGGAAGATGGCGATGGTGATCTCCCAATCTCTTCAGCTCTCTAATGCTCACTACCCACACACCCATCTTCTCCCTAGAAACTCCCTTTTATAGAAGAAAAGATGGGAACGTGGTCCCTAAATTTCAGGCAAGATGGTGGAGCAATTTTAGTGGAGTAAATTGTGACTGTTGAAATACTCAGCCACACCAAATGTCTACAATAAATTTGTGACTGCTGAATTATTCAGCCACACCAAACGTCAACAATCTCCACCTTGGCAAGAATTCAACAAGTTCTTTTAATCAGCAAATCTCTGGAACCTCCCTCTCCAAATGCCCCAAGGGCATCAAGCATCAAATGAGACAAGACCAACTAAGCCAATGCAAGCATCGAACTTGGATGATGGTAATGGCTTTGTCAACATATCTGCGGGATTCTCAGCGGATGCTATTTTGTTGACCAAAACACGACCATCCTCAACAACATCACGAACAAAGTGATAACGCACATCAATGTGCTTGGTCCTCTCATGAAACATCTAGTCATGAGTCAGATGTATGGCACTCTGACTGTCACAATAGATCACTGTAGCTTCCCGACTACCTGTGAGTTCACCAACCGGATTTTGCAACCATAAAGCTTCCTTAGCAGCATCGGCCACCGCCATATACTCTGCTTCAGTCATAGACAAAGCAACAGTCGACTGAAGTGAACCTTTCCAGCTAATAAAGGTACTACCCAAAGTGAAACAATAGCTAGTGAGAGATCTCCTCCGATCAAGATCTCCAGCATAATCAGAATCACAATAACCGACATGCTTCTCTATGGATCTTCCAAACTCAAGGCAGAAATAAGATGTACCTCTCCAATACCTAAGTATCCACTTCATTGCTTCCCAATGAGCCTTCCCCGGATAGGACATATAACGGCTCACAACACTGACTGCTTAAGCAATATCTGGACGCGAACATACCATAGCATACATGATGCTACCAATAGCACTAGAGTAAGGCACACGAGCCATATAGACCTTCTCCTCATTGGACTTCGGTGACTACTTCACCGACAACTTGAAGTGATCTGCTACAGGAGTGGAGACAGGTTTAACATTTGTCATGCCAAAACGATCAAGAACTTTCTCAATATAGTTATACTGACTGAGAAACAGTTTCCCGTTCTCACGATCACGAATAATTTCCATACCCAGAATTTTCTTCGCTGGACCCAGATTCTTCATCTCGAACTCACTGTTCAAGAGAAACTTCAACTTCACAATTTCAGACTTATTCTTACAAGCAATGAGCATGTCGCCAACATATAATAACAGATATATGAAGGAATCATCAGAGAGCTTCCTAAAATAAACACAACTGTCAAAAGCACTCTTGGAATAACCACTAGAAGTCATGAAAGCGTCAAAGCGCTTATACCACTGCCTTGGAGACTGCTTAAGGCCATACAAAGATTTCTTCAACAAGCAAACGTTGTCTTCCTTTCCTTCCACAACAAAACCGTCTAGCTGTTTCATATAAGTCTTCTCTTTCAAATCACCATGCAAGAGTGCAGTTTTAACATCTAACTGCTCTAATTCCATATCATTTATACCTACCAAAACAAGCAAGGTACGAATTGAAGAATGTTTAACAACATGGGAGAAGACTTCGGTATAATCAATACCTAGAACTTGACTGAAACCCTGTGCTACTAACCTTGCTTTGTGTCGAGCATCCTCAACACCAGGAATCCCCTCTTTATTCTTGTAGACCCACTTGCACCCAACAATTTTCTTCTTTGGTGGTGGCATTACAAGCTCCCATGTGCCATTCTTTTCGAGAGATACAATATCCTCTTCCATGGCAACTAACCACTTACCACTGTCCGGACTAGATATGGCTTCATCGTAAGTCTACAAACTGGCCACCTAACTAGTGTCTTCCATGCAATCTCCCATGTGCCATTCTTGATGAGAGTACTACAAACTGGCCACCTTACTAGTGTCTTCCATGCAATCTCCCATGTGCCATTCTTGATTAGAATTCTACAAACTGGCCACCTTACTAGTGCTGAAATGCCTTTAATAAAGCCTTGAAGCACTCTATTGCATAGACGACTACTTGGATCTGGTGTGAAAGAACCTTTAATGGTAGCAGTGAAGAAGTATACCGATCATAAACAGAATATGAGCAAATCTCGCTGGAAGATGGCGATGGTGATCTCCCAATCTCTTCAACTCTTAAATGCTCACTACCCACACACCCATCTTCTCCCTGGAAGCTCCCTTTTATAGAAGAAAAGATGGAAACGTGATCCCTAAATTTTAGGCGAGATGTCGGAGCAGTTTTAGTATAGTAAATTGTGACTGTTGAAAAATACTCAGCCACACCAAAGGTCTACAATAAATTTGTGACTGTTGAATTATTCAACCACAACAAACGACAACAGTATCAGTAAATTCAGAAAAGAAAATCGTACTAGAATCAAATGGTGGTTGGTGAGGATTAATTTCCCTGAAAAAAAAAAAAAAGACTCAGAAACTACGTACATGAATCGGATAAAACGATGACCAGATGAAGATGAAGGTAACTAATACGCTTAAACGTATAATAACGAGTCTTTATAGAAAATTTTTGACAAAATGACATATGTGAATGTAAACTGAGAGAAGCTTGAAACAAATGCAACCGACCTCCAAAGATTAGCTTTTTCAGAGGCCGGCAATGCTCTTCAGCCGAGATCACTCGTCTCTTCTTCCCACCGAGAGGAAGAGTCGAGACTCGAGAGCGAGTGGCAATGCAGTGAACCGAGGATAAAAAACCTCGCCATCGCTCCCTCCCTTTCTCGAGTCCCGATCTCGTCTGCAGTTGGACTGTTGTAGAATTTCCTGTCAGATTTCCGCCTTCTGCCACTTTAACACGTGTTACACGTTCAACGGCGTCCCAAATAAATATAAAAAAAAAGGTTTGAACTGCAACGCCTTCCGCTGGTCCCCGCAAGGGGAAACAATTACACCTGTTCATGGGCCGGACCGGGCCGGGTTCGAGCCAGGCTTTCATTCTGTATAAATAAATTTTTCTAAGGCTCGAGCCCAAGCCAGATCCGACCATCGGCCTACAACTTGGGCCCGAGCCCGGCCCTCATAAAAAGCCCGTGGGCCTGGGCCCAAGCCCGAAATTTAGCCCATGCTGTTACTATTGCTGAAGTGGCTAAATAGAGAGAGAGATTATAAAGAAAAAAATAAAAAAATGTATATATTAAATTACAAATATTATATTATTTATATATTTTATATAATATATAAAATACATATTATGTATTTTATAAAATATTTAATATTGAGTTGAGTTGGGCTGGGCTTTTTTGACAAATCCCAAGCCCGGCCCGAAACACAGTCGGGCTTACTGTGTTAGACTCGAGGTCAGGCCCACAGGCCTAATTACATGACCAAGCCCGACCGGGGTGCGGCTTGGGCCATCGAGCTACCTGGCCCATGAACAAGTGTAGAAACAACCAATGGTGGCACCCCAGGAGGTTACCAGTGGGGTGAAGAGGCCCTCGGAGGGGGCCAAGAAGTTAACGGAGGTGCCAAAGAAGCCAATTGACGGGGCCAAGGCGCTAAAGAGGCCCACGGACGGGGCTATACCAGAAGGAATGGGAGAAGTTCCAAAAGACAGTTGTCGCCGCCGAGGAGAAATACCAGAAATTCAGAAATGCATTCTTGGACGAGCAGTCTGTTCGGGAGCGCCTTGAGATTCAATTGAAGGAGGCGTGGCAAGGACTCTCCAAGGAACAGGTGGAGAGGGTTCAGCTAGAGATCATTATCTCCGAAGCGAAGAGACGGGTAGCCGAGGCTGAAAAAAGGCTGCTGAGGCAGAGAAGAAGGCTGTCGAGGCATGGCGTTAGCGGAGCAGTCAAGGAAAGCAGCGGTGGAGGCGTACAAAAAGTCCTCCGATTACTTGGATTAGCTCGCGGAGTACGCTTCGTCCTCCTACCTCGACGGTATTGAAGACACGAAAAAGGCACTCCTACTGGTGATGCCAGATTTTAATGTCGAGGGGCTGCAGGTGATCCCTGATGCTCCCAGCGAAGCCTAGCCTGCTGATAACTCTGTTCCTCCTCTTGCCAATGGCAAGGCTCAAGCGTAGATTCCCCCGCCCTTTTTGTTCAGTTGTTGTTTTTTGTTCTTTTCTCTTCTTTTCTTTTTGTGAATGTACATATGCTTGGCCTACGAGGCCTTGACAAACTATTTGTAAAGGCAATATAAAAGATTAAACGATGAATGAAGCCATTTTTTGTATTCATTGTGCTTTGTGTATGTTGTCCTTCTTATTTTCTTCTTTCTTCTTTTTTTTCTTCTTTGAGAGTTTCTTGCCCTTCCGAACAACGGGACCACTTCACACAAAGCACGCACGGTTCGCTCATAGTGTACATAGTTTTTTTGCACGTTCGCTTCAAGTAATTGGGGTATTGGGAGCCGAGGCGAGGCCACATGTCCGACGTGGGGTCACCCGGCTCCAAAACTCCTTAAGTGTCAGCTTAGGCAAGGCCGAGGTGATCTGGCACAGTGGCCAAGGTACTTGGGAAGAAGAGGAGCTGAGGTGGAGCAACACCATCGGGGTGCAGTTCACCTGGCTTGTTTCTCACCAAGTGTTTTCTCAGGTGAGGCCGAGGCATCCCACCAGCGAAGCTGGGAGCTTGATCTCATTATTTCCATTGTGCTAAGTATAGGTAGCCGAGGGGATCACTATACTCAAAGGTGACGAGGCGTGTAGGGGCCTCTTTCGCCTTAGCATGCTGAGGGGGCCACCGTCCGTCGAGGAGGTGATGAGGCGTAAAAGGCCTCTCTCTCCCTGGCGTGTATGCTCTTGGCGAGGTGCTCGTCCTAGGGTCGTCATTGTTTTCCATATCGGCCCGTGTCGAGGGCTCATCCCTCGAAGAAGGGCTTCACACGTCGACAGGTCTCGAGGCTGCGGGTTTTTTAGGACTGAGGACACATTTATTCAATATCTAAGGCGAAGAGGAACTTTTTGCTTCATTCATTCATCACTTAGCCATAGGCAACTACATT